ACTGGACAAAAATCGTGCACCTATGGATGAGGACAGTGGGTGGGGAGTGAGGGCGGAGGGTGGGGCGGGAACTGGGAGGAGGGGAGAAAAAAAAAATATCACTGGGTCTCATAAGGTTGAGAACAACTAATTTACACAGTTCCCTATTGGTGGACATTTATAATAATCGTTTCCAACTTTTTACTATTATAAAGAATGCTGAGATTAATATTCTTGTATATATAACTTTTCACTTTTTGTTCCTTAGGATATGTATTTTCCTAGAATTAAAACTGGTATACAGAGCATTTTTGATATATATAGTCAAAGTGTCCTTCACAAAGGTACATTTTTTTTATAAACTAGGAATAGAAAACTTTTCTATAACTGAAGAGTAGAGAAAGGCTTTTTTATCATTATTGAAAATCCAAGAGAGTAAAAGGTTAATAAATTTAGGGCATGTACCTAGGTTAAGGGCCCATCCCCAGTAGGGGGTGTGCAGGAGGCAGCTGATCGATGTTTCTCTCTCATCAATGTTTCTAATAACTATCTCTCTCCCTTCCTCTCTGTAAAAAATCAATAAATTTAAAAAAATATATATATATATATTTTTTAAAAAAGGCTAAAATCCCTAATATTACAAAGAACTTTTAAAAATTGAGAAGGGCCCTGGCCAGTGTGGCTCTGTTGGTTGGGCACTGTCCCATGCACTGAAAAGTCCCAGTCAAGGGCACATGCCGGGCTGCAGGGAGAAGGGTATTTCCTTTTTTCTACCAAACATTATTTCTTATCAAGGCATCACAAATGTGTTACTGGGAATCCATCTGCTTTTTAAAGAAATCCATCTAGACCAGTTGGTGTGGCTCAGCGGTTGAGCATCAACCTATGAACCATGAGATCATAGTTGGATTCCTGGTCAGGGCACATGCCCAGATTCTAAGTTCGGTCCCCAGTAGGGGGCATGCAGGAAGCAGCCAATCAATGATTCTCTTTCATCATTGATGTCTCTATCTCTCTCTCCCACTTCCTTCCTCTCTGAAACCAGTAAAAAATAAAAATAAATAACAAAGATAAAATAAAATAAAGTAAGTAAAATAAAATAAATCCATCTGCAGGTTAATCATACTATGTTTGGTCCATTTGATCTTAGTTTTCTTATAAGATCTAGGGTGATATGTTTGTGTCATTATGTTCAGTGGGCAATCAATAAATATTAATTGATTTTACTTTGAGTTGATACTCTTATTCCTTTAGGATCAGATTCACAGGGGCTTTGTTTAACTTCAAAGTGCTTATTTTTCCTCTTTGATCAACTTCTACTTCAGTTTGCTATTAATATTCACCTGAGACTTGTTCATACAGTACTTACTGCTAAAGGAACCCAAACGGTCCATTCCTTAATTGGCAAAGACTGCTGCTTTGATCTTTCTCAATGCAGTGCCCCTTCAAAGGAGATTTCGGAACTGGCCAACACACACCAAAGCTTGATGACCCCCTATGAACAAACAAAGTTGCACATGGATCAGGAAATAATTCAAAGGGACAAGATAAAGAGAAAATAATGCAATGTACTCTACTACATCCGAGTTCTGTAACATTAAGCAAATATTTTATCTCTATAATCCTGTTTCCCCTCCAATAAAATGGGTATGATTATAATAGTTTCTACCTCCTACAGGTGTTGTAAGGATTAACTATCAAAATCCATGTAAATTATGTACCATGGAGCCCAGCCCATAGTAAGCCCTCTACAAAAGCTACATAGTTCTAATAGACAACTATTGGTTTTCTCCTCTCCTTAGCCCCTTCCTTTGGGAAACTGACTCTCAGACATTTCATATGGTTCAGTGGGGTTGCCAATTGAAATACGTCATTCTCTACCCTCAGATCTCTTCTTAGAAAAATCTGAATCTAAGACATACAAGGACAGAAGGCAGTTGGAGCTCAAACATTCATTAATCAAATATTTGGTCCATGAGCTCTGACTGTTGAGATCCCCATCTCCAAAGGTGGGCCAACTATTTTAGTTTTTTTTTTTTTTCTTATTTATTTTTTTAATATATATTGTTGATATTTTACAGAGAGGAAGGGAGAGGAATAGAGAGTTAGAAACATCGATGAGAGAGAAACATCAATCAGCTGCCTCCTGCACACACCCCACTGGGTATGTGCCCACAACTCCCTTGACTGGAATCGAACCTGGGACCCTTGAGTCCGCAGGCCGACGCTTTATCCACTGAGCCAAACCGGTTAGGGCATAGGTGTTTTTTTGTTTTTGTTTTTCTTATTTCTCTATCTTTCCAATACTTTAATTTGAATGAGTTGTGTTGCTAGAAACCAAGGAATCCTATCTATTAGAACATACATTTGTTCAGTAATTTACTCTTTGAATAAATATTCAATAGGTATGTCCAATGTACACAGTTTCTTCCTAAAGGCAGAAATGAAATCATATTTCACACTAAAGCAAAAAAATAGCTCGGACAGTGTAGCTCACTGGTTGAGCACTGACCCATGCACCAAGAGGTCATCAGTTCGATTCCCAGTCAGGGCACATGTCCAGGTTTCAGGCTCCATCCCCAGAATTGGGGGTGCAGGAGGCAGCCTAATGACATTTCTTGCTCATCTCACTCATCAAAGTTTCTCTCTAAAATCAGTAAAATAATATTTTTTTAAAAAGTCACTGTGGAGTAAAAGTAACAACAACAAAAAAAAACCCCACATCCCACCTTCTATACTTTCCTAGTTTTTACCTCTTTTCTGGCGTTTTTCACATTATAATTTGTGAGGATTATTTCTGCATGCATATTTCCCCCAATTTTTAGACGAAATAAAAGCAGGGACTACACCCAATACAAATTGGTATGCTTTAAAAGTACCAAGCACACGGAAAGAACTCAGTAAACACAAATGTAATAGACAAATACTATTAATGTCTTTTTGGGGGGTGGGCCAGGGTAGACTAATTCTCCCGCTGCTTTAGTCTCCGGAAAAAAGTTAGTCTTTGAAGAAAAATGAATTTAGCAAGGAGTATTACGCACGTGGCCATACAATCATGGCCAACATGTACTGAACTCTTCTCATCTGCCAGGTATTGTGGTACCACTGTCCGTGGATTATTTCTTTGAGCCCTCTGAGGCACGATGCTGTTTCAAAGGAAAGGAAGCCCTGAAAGGTTGCTACTTGTATTACAATGTCTTTCAGGCAGACAACAGCGGCTCCATTTCCAGAGGCTAAGTGAGAGGGTCACGTTAAGGATGTATAAACACTCGACGTCATAAGCAGCACTATTTCAATGAACAGAATCTTCTTTCTTCTTCTCAGGGACAGTTCTGACACTAACACCCATGAAAGGGTGTGCGTGTGCCTCCAAATCCACCTGCCAAATTCAAACACGTCACGGGGAGTACGGGAGGCACGCGAACAGCAGCACTCAGAGCGGTGCAGAAGCCAGGTGCGGGCTGTGCGGTTTTGCAGACAAGGGTCAAATCCTCCCGCAGTTCCTGATGAGCCGTAGAACCGCGGGCAAGTCATTTCCCGGCGCCTCGGTCAGCCTGAGCCGCACATAAGGAAGCCCAAGTGCCTACTGTCTGTGGAAGGCCTACGTGAAAACCCACTGGGAAACGTGGGTAGGGGCGTGACCCACACAGGCGGTCCCGAGCCGGGTTGCGCGTTGCGCTGCAGAGACGGGAATGCAAAGTCTGAGACGCCGCGCAGCGGCCCGGCGCGCAAGACACGCCAGGCTCGCCGAGGGGCGG